GAAGTAGTGCCTGCATAGAGGGTACCTGATGGGCTCTTTTATATACTGACAGCACCAAAGCTACAAAGAATGCGGCAGGGGTTGGCACAGGGTCCTTCATGAGGTCTAGACCTGCGCCCTTCAGCTTTCATTAGCACACAGCAGCACCCTATCTACCTTTTCACAGATTAACTACTGTAATCAGGCCCCGTCTCCAACATGTAAATTGTGACCTTGATGACCACAGAATTGAGGATGTCACCGCAGCTGCATTTAAACTACAACCCACAGGATTATATCAGCAAGCACTGAATGAAGGAGAAATTCAATTGACTTTAAGAGGCCAAAATGAAATCTGCCTCTGATTTGCTGCTCCCAGAACCCAGCCTGCTCCAGGGCGGGGCTGCCTCGCCTCTAGCAGACACTCTCCTTACAGATAAGCTTCCAGACACCCACAGGCCCAGATCCCAAGGATACGTGGGTGAAAATCAGTCTTGTCTCCAAAGAAATTGACAAACTGGGTGCCGTTATAAAAGTAGCCTGCAGGCAGGGGGTCCAGGTGGTGTTTAACCTACAGGGAAAAAAGAGTCCTGTTAGAATTATCTGACCACTTTCTATCATTCACTCATTCATTAAAAACAAAAACAAACCTATTATCCTTGCAAGATAGCCCACTCCATGGAGGCTGTGTGTCAGGGAGTTAACGCCTCCCCACAGCAGCTCTCAGGCAATGACTGATGGAGGTCTCCAGGCTCGTGGGGAGGCACTCTGGGTGCCCCTGGTGAGAAGAAACTGGTTGTCCACAGTGGTCCTGGTTCGATAACATACCCGTTGTTGGCTGTCTCCCCTTCCTTCTCTCTGTTACTTTCCCATTTCCATACTCGTGTCTCCTAGAATCATTTCCAAAATAAACTACCTGCACTAGACCTTGTTGAAGGTTTGTCTTCTGAGGTGCCCACGGTGTCCTGCCCAGGAGCACCCAGGGTTGCCCAGGTCCTGTAGGGCCTGGATATGAAGGGCTCTCCTCACGTCCAAAGCAGGGGCTCCTGGAGTCCCAGAGCACTCTCTGCCCACCTGCACATTACTGGGACTGGTGATGTGGCTCATGTTGGGGCCTGTGTTCCTTTTAGTCTTTGCCTCCAAACCTGTCAGGAAAAGTCTCCTGTGGAGGTAGGAACTGGGGCAGAGGCTGGGAGTCAGCCTGGAGGCCAAGAGGGCTCGTCAAGGGGCCTCTTGTCCTGGCCTCAGATTCACACATTAGGAGAGAACAACTTCAGTTGTTTGAACAGCGTGACAAAGCAGGGCTTCAGCTGCTCCTAGATCTCATGCCCAGGTGACACCAGAAAATCCCAAAGGATGAAGCTACACAAGCTTGGAAGGACAGCCTTGGGATATGGACGAGCCTTAAGCCCGTAGGGCAGGGTACTCACATGGATGTTCCGGATCTCCTGCTGGGTCAGCATTCCCCTGGTCTTCAGGGCTTTCCTCTGAGGCTTCTGT